TAAACGCATATGTATACATATGCATTTAGGGACCACCGCCGTCCCATAGGACCCAGGCATGGGTCCTATGGGATGGCTCCGCTCATTTTTTTTTTTCTTTCAAAAAAAAATATGTAAATACATAATAAGATTTTTTTTTTCATGCAAAAAAAAAAAAAACACAGCAGCCTTCAACCTCGCCGGCCGGGAGGATTCCCTCCAGGTCGGCGAGGTTGTACAGCCTCGCCAAACAGGAGGACTCCCTCCTGGCCGGCGAGGTTGTACAACCTCGTCGACCAAGAGGATTCCCTCCTGGCCGGCGAGGTCGTACAACCTCGCCGGCCAGGAGGTATAATGTTATATTTTTCTAAAGCTTTCCGGGGCATGGATGATGGGCTGGAGCGGAGCGTGTCATGTGTCCTCAGTTCGACCAAAGGGTTAGATGAGGTTTGACTCACCGAAAGAGAATATAAAAACGCAAATAGTGAGTACTGACCCCCCAAGGTTCATAGTATGATGGGAATACACCCAAATGACATCCCCGCACAAATTCCTCGTAATCCAAGCCGAGGATGGGATTATTAGAGTTCAAGAAATCTGGATGGAAGATGACTTTCACGCAATCGTGACTACCATTGAAGAGTTGAACGCGACGGATTTGATTGAGGATAGGGTCTGCACTATCATCGGCCATGTTGTGAGTGACAACCGGTGGAAGGGAGTTCCGCTTGAGAGCAAAGACTCGACGTTTCAACAAGATCTTGTCTTTGGAAGAGAGTAGAGTCGATGGGTCGGGCACTTCTGTCCCAATCTCGCCAGTGTAGCGTGCCGTCATTTCGAACAATCTGTTGCCGATTCGGTTTTGGATTTCAGTCACTGTGTCTCAGAGTTGCTTGGTAACCGCTTGGCCTTTGAGAGCCTCAATTGTGTAGGAATGAGTCGCTGCTGGCATAATGATAAACGCTACGACTGTGATTTTGTACTTCATCGTCTTGAGTTTATGATTGAGACCTGTTTAATCCAATTTACATGTTACAAAATGACACGACCCGGAATAATTGATTGTAAAAAAAAGTTACTTACGAGCAAGAGATTCGATAAACATATCCACTCCTTTGTTACGGTAGTCGTACCGCCCGGCTGTAAAGAAGTAAAGTGTATTATCCAAGTCGAAATCATAATGGCCATAGAAGTGCCCGCGCACGAAATCATGAATCTTTTGCTTCGAGATAGCATGAATGTTTTGGAATTCGTGCATTGCTGAAAACTTGACCACATTCAATCCATTGGGTAGCACTCCATCTGGAAACCCGCAATAAAAATCTCCTGGTCGGCGAGGCTGTACAACCTCGCCGACCTGGAGGGAATCCTCCCGGCCGGCGAGGTTGTACCGCCGACCAGGAGGGATTCCTCCTGGTCGACGTGTAGGCCTTTTTTTTTCTTTTTCTTTTTTTTTGTTTTGAAAGAATTTTTTTTTGAAAGAAAAAAAAACCTCCCATAGGACCCATGCCTGGGTCCTATGGGAGGGAGATTGGCGTGCAGGCGTGCACGCCAATCTGCGCCTGGCGTGCAGTTTGGCGTGCGCAAGGGGGGTTGGCTTGCGTTTATCAACCCCCGTCGCCCGATCCTCCCCATTGTGAGTTGTAATGTTTGTCTTATTGATGGCATAGCCATGTTCCAACGCCCACTTTTGAACAGCGTCATCTAGTTGTGACCGGGTCCTATAAGATAACTCGGGAGGCGGCGCAAGGGAATGAAGACTGGCAGACGGAGTGGTTGACGGAGCTGCTGTAGACACAGTTTCATGAAGTGGGCTGACTCCGTCTTGAGATGTACCGGTGAGGGGGTTAACGAGATAAGTATCCCCAGCTGTTTCAGTTGAAAGAAGGAGCGGGTTGATGTGGCTTTGACTTTCAGACATGTTATGGAGGAGTTTGGTGAAGTTGAGTGATGAATTAAAAAGGACGAGGGTTTCAACAAGAAAAACCAAGATGGTAGCCGTAAAAAGAATCAAGAAAGAATTTTTTTGATGGTTTTCAAGAAGAAATTGGTTGAGAACCGGCTGAGTTAATTGCAGAGGTAGTTTGAGTCCAGCTACTAGCGATTGAGCAATGAATAACCAACAACGAGAGGTGTTTTGGCAAAAGCAGAGATGGTGGCTGTCAATAAGGTCAAGAAAGGATATTTTTGAAGGTTTTCTGAAGAATTTGGTCAAGAAACGGCTGAGTTATTCAGAGTTGAATTTTAAGACCTACTAGAGTTCCAGCGGTGATTTAAAAAAAACAAGAGTTCCAGCGAGAAAAATAGAGACAGTGGCAGTGAAGAGGATCAAGATAGAAGATGATTGATGGCTTTCTTGAAGAAATTGGTCAAGATTTGGCTGAGTTATTCTGAGTTGGGGTTTGAGTCCTACTAGCGTTCCAGCAATGATTTCAAAAAAACAAGAGGTCCAGCGGCAAAAACGGAGACGGTGGCGGTCAAGAGGATCAAGATAGAAGATGATTGATGGTTTTCTTGAAGAAATTGGTCAAGAATTGGCTGAGTTATTCTGAGTTGGTGTCAGCTTGCTACTATGGCAGAGACAACCTGTCACAGCAAATAAAAATAATAAATTGCATAAAAAATCTAAGTATAAATTAAAAATATTACATAAGTAAAAGAAACAATATTACTTATGTAAATAAGATAAAAAATACATGAATAACTTAAAAAGTATAAACAAAACCTTGAATATTATTGCAGATTCTGAATCAGCGTGCAATTTAACCTAGGGTACCTCAGCCAAAGGTACCCCAAATTCTAACTCCTTCATCCTGTAATACAAGCATGAATAATTAACAGGTACCCCCAGATCACGGGTACTGTGACACTTCTGCATAATGCATAATGCATATACTCCAAATCCAGTCTCAGAATTGGAGTATTATGCACGGTTTAGAAGATAGAGCAGTGTGGAGTCCTGTCTCCAAGCCCATGTGCCACGTAGTCATGCTGCGCACCAGTATCCAAGGATTGGGCCACAAAAGCCCCAGAATCCCCATTGCACGTGGCAACAAAGCCCCCACACGTGTAATAAGAATGTGAAAAAGCTAGAATATCCATGAAAATACTACAGTAACCATATTCCAGTGGGTAACACGTGTAGCAAGCCTCAGAAGACACCTCTAGAATATTCTGTGGCCCATTTCCAAGGAACCTGCTCCACGTAACAGAGTAACCCCTATCCACAGGTTCCCATGGGACATTCTTGGCTGTAATAATTTCGTGCATGACCCCTTGGAGCTTCTGGAATATTATCCCCAAGGTTCCAGCCCTGGTTACATCACCATGTGGGCCAAAATGGGCCCAAAAGCGCCCCCAAGTCCTACTAAGCTCCCCTGAGCAACCCCTGAGGCCTTCCACAGGTATTCAAAGGGCCTTCTGACCGCCCAAATAATGATCCCCCAGCTTTACAATACCTTATAGAAATTTACTTACCATTTACAAGTCCCCTACACTTGTAATTAGCCTAGTTACTACTATAATTGCTGTTATTAAAGCCTCAAGAACCCTCAAGAAACTCCCCAGTTATCACCCAGCACCCAAAATCAAACTTTCTGAGCGCTCCCAACTGTCCAGTTTCTACTAAGAAAATCCTCAAGACCCCTTTTGATTATTACTAGTGAGTAATAACCCTTTCTTGAAGATTTTCCCCTAAAAATTATCTCCTGGGATTTAAACCACACCTGCTACAGGCCCCAGTGTATCAGGTACCTAAATCCTCTGCTTTTTGCACGATACCTTAGAGGGATTAAACCACCCCTGATTTATCAGGCCCCTCTGGTTTAATTTATATTAATTTTATTAATATAAATTGGCCACTTTTTGGATTTAATCCATAAATTCCACGTAATTCTTTTGAATTACCTGTACCAGTTCTATCCCAGAGTTTTTGCCATAAAAACTCTTACTTTTTGCACCTTGTGTAGCTAGAGGACATGTGTCTTGGCATCACTTAGGCTGACAGTTGGGGTTTGAGTCCTACGAGTGTTCCAGCAATGATTTAAAAAAAACAAGAGGTCCAGCGGCAAAAACGGAGAGGGTGGAGGTGAAAATAATCAAGAAAGAATATTATTAGTGCTTTTAATGAATAAAATGGTTGAGAAACGGCTGAGGTATTTAGAGTTGAAGTTTAAAACCTACTGAAGTTCCAGCAATGATTAAAAAAACAAGAGGTCCAGCGGCAAAAACGGAGACGGTGGAAGTGAAGTGGGTCAAGCAAGAAGATGATTGATGATTTTCTTGAAGAATTTGGTTGAGGATTGGCTGAGTTATTCAGAGTTGAAGTTTGAGTCAATTTTGAGTCCCAGCGATGATTAAAAAAAAAAAAAGAGAGGTCCAGCGGCAAAAACAGAGATGGTGGCAGTCAATAGGATCAAGAAAGAAGATGATTGATGGCTTTTCTTGAAGAAATTGGTTGAGAAACGCCTGAGTTATTCAGTGTTGAAGTTTGAGGCCTAATAATGACTTTAAAAAAAACAAGAGATGGATCAGCAAAATTGAAGAGCATAAAAATTGGGTGCTTTTGGTATTTTTTTGTGAATTTTGGTCGAGGAATGGCCAAGTTATGATTTTTTGAAGTTTAGAGTGTACCTGCAAGTTGGGAGTGAACCCAAGGTGAATCAAAAAAATCCGAGTCCCTGGGGTCGAAGAGGAGACAAAAAGAATGATTTCGGTGTTTTTTTTTGTTGATTTTGGTTGAGTTTTGACTGAGTTGTGGTGTGTTGATGGTTTAGAGGGGGGGTGAAGTCTATTTTTTATTGTGGTGAGTGATTTTCTTGTTTGGTGCCTGCAGGAAAATTTCAAACTTCATGCAGGCACTTGTGGTACGCGTGCGCGCCCCCTGGAGGCAAAATTATGCATAATTAATAAAACCGTGTTTAAACACCGATTCCGCGTGCTCTGCACCACAGCAAAACCATGTCAAAACGCAGAAAAACCACGTTTTTTTATTAATGACCAAAATTAAATACAAAACTGTGTGCAAACGCGGAAACCGCGTGCACTGTGCCGCAGCAAAACCGTGTGTAAACGCGGAAAAACAGTGTTTTTTTTATTAATTCCCTTTTCTTTTTGCTGATATTAAGTTTATTTTAAGCCTCAAAAATGATCAAGTTTATCCTTGCCCCAATTTTGGCAACATCCAGTCTACTCCATCTTTTTAGAACAAGTGCAGGTCTACAGCTCTGGAAATGAAGGCCATGATGCTCAAGGTCAGCTCTATGTTTTTTTTAAAAAAAAAAAAAAACAAGGAATCTGTGAAATAGCAATAGGCCATTTGTTTGATAATCCCAAATTGGTTTAAGTACAGTCTATGAGATATTTTTGGTACCCTCTCCCATAGTGTAACAGTTGGAGTGTTAATAGTGATCAATAATCCCCCAAAGAATCTGTGCAACACCAGTTCAATTCCCACCTCACACATCTAGTCAACCCATCACAATTGCAATGAAACCTGCCAAAATCATCTTTGGAATTTTCACAGCCTTTATCCCAAAAGCCAATGCGGGTGAAGTTGAATGTATGGGCAAGGTTATGGGCAGGACTTGTGGAAGAAGTGCTAGCCAGTTTCAGTTACCAGGAGCTGATCAAGTTGGGCCTTGTGGGGACCCCAGTGGCTGTCTGGCACAACGCACAAAGAACTACTACAAATGTGGTGAATGCCAGTCTATAACTGTCAAAAACAAAAAAATGAAGATTGGTCAATATGAAGCATGTCGTCATGAAAATAAGAAGTTGTACTTTCAAGGGACAGTGTGGAGACATGAATATGAACCCAAAGTAGTTCTGCCATCTCAAGGGAAATCTGAAGCAGCCTCATATGAAGAAGCTACACCCTCAACAACCCGTGATGACATTCCGTACTATGAATTCTTCAATTGAAAATAAACTACCACCAGCATAAATGCATTAGCTTCTCAAAGCTGCACACAAAAATCTTTTGAATTGTGAAGCAAAAATCATAATGAATTGGAAAGCAACTCATTCATGAAGAATTGCAGCCCCTTGCTACAAAAGTTTCCGAGGAAATTACCTATCTATAATTGTCTTTAAAATCCCTTGTTCATTTTTATCACATTTTTAGGGCAGTTCAAATAGGGAAATCTGGTATCAATTGACTGATGATTTTTTTTTGAAAATCTTTACACAGCAAAAGCAGAAATGGGATGCTATGTTGGGCTGTGCTTTTTCCCCAAAAATTATTATTTTAGGGGGTATAGAATTTTAAAAGTCTCTATTTTCAAGGCTTAAGCCCCGCAAGTCATAATGTGTATAAAATCCCCCCCCCCCACTCCCCTGAAATGTGAATTTTACAAGGCATTTCTCACACACCTGACCTTGTAACTAGGAGCCTTGTGAAATAATCCATGCAAAACTGTGCTCAAACACCATGTGATCAGAATTTTACAAACCAAGTATCACAAGGCCTCAGCCTCTCAATTTTAATAGCATGCAAAAACCATCATACATCCCAAAGGAGGGATCATTACAAGGCCCCAAAACATAAGGCCAAGACTTGTAAGAAATATACGGTGCAAAGATGAACATTCCACACAGTGACACATCTTCCCAGATGGGAATTCTTGTAAATTTTAGGGAAATTCTGTAAAAAAAAATTAAAGATTTGTCCAGATTTGTTAGATTTTTTTATTTTTTTAGATTTGTCCAGATTTTTTAGATTTTTTCAGATTTTTTAGATTTTTTCAGATTTTTCAGATTTTTCTGGATTTTTTGTATTTTTCTAATTTTTTAGATTTTTCCAGATTTTTTAGATTTTTCCAATTTTTTAAGATTTGCATTTTGTTTTTTTTTTCATATTCCTTTTTATCATCCCCCTATCCACCACTCCGCAAAAACTCATAATTTCATGTGTGATAGTTTTTTTTAAATAAAGTAATTGATGTGTCATAAACAACTGGGAGGATACTGTACATATTTATTTATAAAGATATTTGACCGTGAAAATACTGTAGTACAGGGATAACTTGTGTTACAGGTATTTCACAGATAAAGGAGTGAAAGGTAAGTGATCATTACTTATGTATTAAACTGGTATGTATTTAATAGAAAGTAATTAGCGGATAAGATAAATATAAGATAAATCAGGTAAGTTAATAATAATGATAAGATAACAAGAGGTAAAGGTAAAAAACATTATGGATAGGACAGGTCTTGCAGTTACTTGGTACATGAAAGGTACTGTGACATGTACTCTGTGGCTGACAACAGATATCCCAACAACGCATGCCAAGGATGTGAACCTAGGTTTGATTAAGGGGACTAATTCCAGCAGTTGTGTGTTACCCCCTGCACAAAGTTCCTCTATTAAAGGAAAGGGCAAAGCCATTGAATCAAGCGTGAGTCCAAGGAAGATGTGAGCAGCAATGGGCCCACAGGCTTAATTGATAGTACTCACATTTTTGGCCTGTGTTAGACAAGACTCAATGTTATTTTTTGAAATTTATTGTTGTAAATGCGAGCTTAGAGATTTGCATTCAAGTAAACAGGCGCAATTTCCTTTTGAGGAATCCATACATTCTTTTTTGATCTCCCTTCTTTTGTTCCACATGTTTGATTAAATTGAATCTAATGCGGCCTTTGCATTATTGTCAGATTAGGGTTCTAGACAACGGAGTATTGTACTTTGACGCTGTGAGAACTCCTTTGGGAATGGTGGCAGTCCTGTGAGGGGGAAATAGCAGATGAGATATATCAAGTATGCAATGATCCACTACAACTGTTACGGCCGGTTTGAAAGACCTGCCCCTCTATTTGTACTACACAAGAGTTAACAAGACAATTTATTTATTGTCGTGGCAAAAAACTGATGATAGAGAACACTATGTGTAGCAGTCTCTTATCAAACCTAGATCAACGTGGATTCAGCAGACTATTTGAGTGGAAATGTTGGGTAAGGGGTGTTTTTTCTGTTTATATGTTTATGTATTTTGAAAAATGATTGACGTATGTACTGATGATGAATGTGAATTTATGAGATGATATTGTGGAAAAATGTGACTATTGGAAGTGTCTTTCCCTTCCTACTTGAATCTTAGTCAAGAGCACAATGGTTTAAGATCACTGTCTCTTGTTTAAGATCACAAGTTGTACTGGTTGCTACTTTCTTTTTCCTATGCTTCTCAATGTCTGAATGATCTCAATGGGGCACTTGATTAAGATCACACTGGTTAATGTATGGATTGATTGCTCTGTTCTGTCTGGTTGATGATCAGATGAGATGATGATCTGTTGTGATGAGATGATATGAGATGATGAAAAGTTGGAATGAAGGGGGGAGCAGCCCTCCTTAAATAGTCTATTTTACAACCCGGCTGACTTGTGGTTCTAGCCCTAACCTATAATCTATAAATGGCCAACTTGTGGTTCTAGACCTAACCTATAATGAATATGCATCTAAAACTCTGGCCAAATTGTGGTTTTGCTACTATACAAAATTCTCAGTCTACCTACAAACAATGTGGCCAACTTGTGGTTACACTATGCAATGAATATTGAATATGTAACCAAACTAAGGCCAACTTGTGGTTTAAATTATGCAATAATCATTTTTTATGCAAATAAAATTTAAATCCCAAAGAACTTTTGACTGAGTGGAGCTAGCCTAGTGGTTCCAGTGAGTGACTATGGGTTAAATGACCCGTAGAATGTGATTATGCCATAATACACCTAAGAATATATGCCCTTCTACATATTGTACTATGACTTTATGCAATTTGATACTTGAAACACAATTGGCATACTACAACGCTGGAATGAGTCCAAGTCTTGAACCCAGAGGAATATCAAAAATCAACCACATCACTATTGCATCCACTCATGGTATTTCAAAACCATTGGCAATCAGCAACAATTGAATATGAATTGTACTTGTAAATTGTCTCCAAGCTTGACCTGACTTTGGCCAGATGGGCAACATTGATTAGGGCCGTGTAACGTGGTGTGCAAGGACTGTGGTGCTTTGCACTGGGCCAAAGAAAGGTTGCAAATTGATGCTAAGGCTAAGCGGAACAAGTTTTTGATATGTTGCCAAAAAGGAAAAGTCATTCCTACATCGAGTTCCTTGTCTGTGCCTCAAATACCCAAATTCATAGAGAGTTTACTTACAAGAGAGACTTCTGGTAAGCCTTTTGCATTGAAACCAATTATTACCGTTTATATCCACTGACTCTTGTGTGTAGAGGCTAAGTTTTTTCAGAGGTCTATGCAATTTGTACTACATACTTGATCTGCAAACACTTCCGCGATGGATGTTTAGAAGAAGATGTTGGCAAAGTGACAAAAAACGCGTCCAGTTGATGTCCACTTGTTGGAGTGTATATCATCCTTTTGAGCTAGCAGACTGGAAAGTATTCACTCTGAGCTTTTCATCTCTCATCATCATGGAAGAGTGCATCAAAAGAAGCACCCAATGGACGCAAATGCTTGCGACAATTTCTTCATTCATTAACCGGGATTTTTTTGTTCTGTTATTTTGTTTTGGAAAAAAATGAGGAAATTTGAAATATCAATGATGTGTTGAGAGCCCATGGCGGTTCCAAAAGTTGTGCTTGATATAAGTTACTGGGCCACCAAATGTATCCCAATTTGGGGAGAGATGGGAGGTGAGAGATACCAAGTTGGCTGCCGCAGCCGAGGAACAATGGGTGTTCACAGCTTAAGGCTTGGTCAGATTTGGATGGCAAAAAATCAACCTCAAGATATGATACTTGGACAACACCTGGAGATGTACTTTCCACTATCCCAATGCGTTGTCAGGTGCCATTGAATTCACTCAACCATGATGGCCTAATTGTGTTGCAAGAGTATTGGCTTGATAAAGCTGTAATCAATGTTTCAGGCAACAAGAAAAGATCTTTGTACCGTTCTCTGAATCAATCTTAGCTTATGTGTCCACTCTATCAACTTCTTTCAATCAGTAGTTGACGCAAGGTAATTTAACAGTGGGACACATGCACTTTGTCTCAATTTTTCAAGTTGAAAGGTACTACACTTGGCTCATCCTACTTCATCGTAAAAATATACAATAGGGGGTATCAAATATAGGAAATCCACCATTGGAAACCAGTCACTTTTCCCAAAAAATATTTTTGCATCAAAGGGCCCCAAAGAGGGTTAAATCACTCCCCAGCGTGTTTAAAAAAGGGTGGATTTTTTCAAACCAGTCGATTAAATAATGGTGGATTTGGTTATATTTGATACCCCCTAATCTTGGGTCAATCTGAAGTCAGCCAACGGGATTGTTCATTATACATTTTGCAACACGGCTGATGCCTTGGGCTTATTAGTCAACAACAGCCAACAGGATCAGGCATTGACTGAAGGAGCCCACTTCAAAACTGGGTTTTAACTTAGATTAGTGGGATTCCTTATATTTGATACCCCCTAATAATACTGTTATTAAGTCCACCAGCTGCATCCATGGCTTTGTTTGAGAGACATTGGAAGGAAATGGGCAAGGAATTTGTCTGTGTGCTGAAGAATTAGTATGGCTTAGAAGATCCAGTGCCAGAACAATTTAAAATCTTCATTATACTTTGACTAGAAAAAAACTTAAAATCAATGAATTCAAGCCTACAAGATCTAAGCTTGCCATTAAATCCAGAACAGGAACATTTTCTCATCTCTATCAATGCTCAAGATTGTGGAGAGTGCCAAGTAAGGGACGTGAGTGCCAATTGGGTGATAATTCTTGGTCTTTTGAACACAGCTCAACGTAAATTCTACAATGTGGTTTATGATAACTTCTCATGAGTGCATTTTGATCATAAACTGTATTATCTAGATGCACCAGGATAAACTGAAAAACTTTTCTGCTTGATTGCATCATAAATTCTCTCAGGTCAAACAGTCGGAGGGTGATAGCGGTGGCATTGACTGGGGTCGCTGCTCTATCATTGACAGGGGTCAGACAGTCCATTCCTGCTTTAATATCCCAGTCCAGTTTTCAGCTGATTTTTATTGTGATTTCTCACACGAAGACAAAACAGGGAAGCACTTATGGACTGCTGATCTGATAATATGGGACAAGGCAGTAGCAATGCATAAGGATGCCATCATGACTGTAGATCAAAGTCTCAAAGATCTAATGAAGACTAAACTAACCTTTGGGGGGAAAACTGTCATTTTTGCCAGCGGCAGGCTTAAACATATACATGAATCATGATAAGTTTGTGTAAAGTAGTAAAGTGAAGGCAATAAATGAAATATTTGTATTTAATAGATGGTGGTGCAGCCGCCTTTAGACACTAGTTTAAATTTATTTGGAGGCCGACTCCCAAACCCACTGACGGGTTTGGGGAATCAACTCCTAAATTTTGGGAAAACTCGGGTTTGGGAGTTGGTTGACCAAGTCCCCATTTTTATTGCAATATACTTATAACAATTTCATATCATCATCATCACACCAAGTGCCCTTTTCCTTGTTCCATTACTGGTTGAAGCATAGTGCTCCCAGCGCTTGCGCCTTGGTTCTCTCTCACCTCTTTTTTAACTTTATATACCATCATCCTCAAGGTTGCACATTCAAGCCTCACTCTCAAAAATATTACCATCACCACTTCTACCAACAATAACCTCACCAACATCAACAATCATCATCAACTTTAACCATTATACAAATCAGTTGACAGCTTCATCTTGAACTATCCTCTTTCACAATATATAAACTGCCAAGCTGAGCTTGGTGGTCTTGTTGTTATGATAGCATAGAAGGGTAGAGCTTGCACCTCCACCATCCCCTTCTCCATTCAGCAAAAGGATTTCACAACCACTTTTGAGTCTTACACCGGCTGGAAGGGTTTCCTTCCAGCCGGCAAGCATGTACCTTGCCTTCTGGAAGGGTTTCCTTCCAGCCAGAGAAGTACATCTACCTTGCCTTCTGGAAGGGTTTCCTTCCAGACAGAGAAGTACATCTACCTTGCCTTCTGGAAGGGGTTCCTTCCAGCCGGCAAACATGTACCTCATCCACTGGATGGGTTTCCTTCCAGTTGACGAGGTACAAGTACCTTGTCAACCAGAATGTTTTCCTTCCAGCTGGCAAGGTACATGTACCTTGCCTGCTGGAAGGACCTTGCTGGCTGGAAGGAAACCCTTCCAGCCGGTGTGGTGTGCTGTGCCTGTTCCAATGCCAAAAGCATACAGCAGAGGTGTTGGGATAGCATAGGTACATACATGTGACAATCATTACAAGAGAAGGAACAATCATTATGGATGAGGTGTGGTATATACGGACAGGATTACATACAACGCGTGGATTGGGAGAACATATCTTGACCAGGAATGGAACAAAGGAGCGGTGTGCATACGAGGAGTGGAGTGGGAGATCATATCTCAACCAGGAATGGAACGGAGGAGCGGAAGTATATATGTGGAGAGGAGTGGGAGATCATATCTCGACCAGGAATGGAACGGAGGAGCGGTGTGTAATAAGGGTACTTTATGTTTTACGTAAGGGTACAGGGTGCGGATTGTAGAAAGTGAAGGGAGGAAAATATTGAGGCGGAGGGAGGAAGGAAGGAGTGAGGAGAGGCTTTGACCCCCAAATCCTGGGTGGAAGGAGATAACAGCAGGTCTGGCAGGCTGGTACTGCCTATGCAGAATGTTCTGGAAGATGGCTTGGTTGCCTGGCGATGCATGACATCATGCTGCGCTTGTGTGCTCCCTTGCATGCATATTATGTGACAAGGTCTGGAGTTAAGTGTTCCTAGCACAGCATAAGCTGCGCTATTTGTTTGGAGGCTGTGCGCAAAGGCTGTGAAGGTGAGATCCCCTGCAGCAATATTCCCTCACAAGGAGTCCCCTGCAGCAGAAATCCCTCACTCTTCAATATAAAAGAAGGGCCTCTCCCCACCAGAAAGTCCCTTCTCCCCATCAACCTACGGAAGTAAGTTCGATCACCCAAGTTGAAGAATAAGTTAGTAAGTGAGTTAGTTAGTGATACGTAGCGAGTTATAACAGTATTGTAAGCGTGAAACCAACACAGAGTTCGGAATTTGAAGCATATTAGTAGTAGTAGTCATCATATAAGTAGTAGTACATTAACAATTAACCAATAACTAGTAGTAGTAGTATTAGTACCGGAGCTCTAGTTTTTGATTAAAGTGCCTTAGCAAGAAATTGTTCGAGGAAGAGATCATTAACAAACTCTATAACAAATTATCTGTTTCGTGCTCAAGTCATCAGCACCAAAGTTTCCATTATTAACCTGAAGTTGTAACAGATTCATTAGTAGATTGATACGTGATCTAGGTCTGATAGAGATTACTTTACGAAAGTAAGATCTATCTTGGAATCAGCCATACATTATTAAATATTGATTACAAGACTCTTAGTTATTTGTTTAGTACATTTAGAGGGGCAGGTCTTTCAAACCACCCGTAAGTTGTAATAGCCTTTCAACCTATCTGCAATTTATTTCCCCCTCAAGGGATCTTTTGATATACATATACTTTACCGTGTCTATCCGTCCCAGAAGTCCTACATCTGGTGTCCCAACAGTGGCAGATTACCTTCATCAAGATCATTCGAATCAATCATATTTTTCTAGCGAATCAACCTCAACATCAAATCAATCGTGGATAACAGGAAGAAGGCAGATTTTGGCGGCGATAAGGAGCGTTCGATTGGCGATACAAAGGATACGATTGAAGTGGCGAAGTATTTAATTGGCGAGACGAAGGAACTGATTGGCGAGACGAAGGGTTTGACCGGCGAGAAGAAGGAGTCGATTGGTGAAAAGAAGGAGGTGATTGGCAAGACGAAGGATTCGAGCGGAGACACCAAGGAGTCAAACAAGACATCCAGGATTGACGAGGAGATTAGAGAAAGGGAGCGGAAATTTTTGGAAGAACAATTTGGCAAATTATTAAAACAAAAATCAAAGATGGCAAACACAGAGGAACAAAACAGGGAACAATCAGCTGTTATAGAAAAACAGCAGGCTAAGATTACTGAATTGGAAGAATCAATGCAACAGATGCAGCAGATGATGATGTTAATGATGAATCAAGTAAAAACACCACAGAATGTACCGGTACCAGAAACTCCACCACCACGTGGACCATCAT